CCCCACTGAACAGCGCCCTTTTGCTGTTCAAAGTGTTTTCCTGAGGCTGCCAACCTCCAAAATGGTTTTATGATACCATTTTCTCTCCTTCTCCCCCTCCCAGAATCTTTATTCTTACTGGGCAGCTGCTTAACTAGGTATGAGAGAGAAAGCAATCTTATGGAATTAATTCATACTGATGTGTGAGTGAATGAATGATTCACATATAAGCCTCAAAGAGTTTTAATTTTTGTAAGAAAATTTTTAGTAACCCTAAATGATATCTAGATTTTTCAATTCTCAATATAAATTAGAAAAAGAAGGTATTATAGGGAAAGTTTCCACTAGGTTGTAAGCTGTGGGTTCCTTGAGGGCAGATACTATATCATTTTGGGTACTCAGTTATCTTGCCCAATTAGTTATGTACCTAATCAACATGCATGAATTGAGAGGAACAGAAAGAGGGAATAGGAGAAGGGAGAGAAGGAAAGGAGAACAAGGAGAACGAAGGGAGAGAAAAGATAAGAGGGAGGAAGGGAAGGAGGAGTAAAGGAGAGGAAACAAGGAAATCAGAAGAGAGAGAGAACTAAACACACTTCAAATGATGGCATAAGTTTCTATTTTCCTTTCCACTACAGTGAGGAGGGGCATATTCCAATAGAAACGGTGGGAAATGCTGCCCTTTAAAGTGCCAACAAGAGATGGAGCCAGAAGATGGCTGAGCCCTAAGGAAAGATATTGATCAGAGCCACGCATTTCTAGTCTCCAGCACAGTAGATATGACTCAAGACAGACGACTGGCCATTATCAAGTAGTCTCCCAAGGGACCCCTATACCCGGAAGAATGGGTCCAAGATATCTAATGATCACAGGAACTCGGGCGCTAAGCCTGTTACGGTTATAAAAATTGATCTCTGTAGAGTCAATATAATTAGAGAGACGGCATTCATCTGTAGAAGGCCGCAGTGGGATTTTCCACTCAAACCAAATGCAAATGGAAACTTGAGAGAGAAGTGGAGGTCAGAGGTGGGGAGCCAGGACCACCAATTTTCTTTTGGGTCTCAGGGCGGCAGAGAAGACATCTTTTTTAGATGCTAAAGAAGAAACGTGAAGCAGCAGATCCTGGCTACAGGGAACCAGGGACCAGATGTCCCGGAATTCAGAGAGAAATGGGCCCAGGCGCTCGGAACAATGGAATCCTTGAGCGAGGTCGGTCCAAGAACCAAAGGGAAGTGGTATTCATTCCTGCCAAGATATACCCGAGAGAGCACACTCTTTATCCTGTGGGCTTAGCCTGCTTTAGATAAGTATATCAGAAAGGGCTCTGCTCAGCTCACAGCCAGTGAGACTATGTGTTTAAATGCTTGCTTCCATCTGTACCAGCAGGGAAACCACGGTGCCTGGATTTAGTTTCAAACAGAATCTTGACCCTACCACGAGCTGGTTTTTATGACCTTTGTCAAGCCCTTAATCTCTCTAATCCTTCATTTCCTCGTCTGTAAAGTGGAAAAGACTTCCCCTTTCTCTGTACCATTTAATAAGTGTTTTTCTATTGCTGGACACTCCGCACTCACGAATGCAATCTTCTTCACTCTTTACCACCACCCGACCGGGCAGCATCGTCTTTTGACAGATGGGGAACACGGGGCTCGGGGAGATGGCCACAGTCTGTCCAAGGTCACACAGCTGGGAGGTGCTGGGCTGGAGCTAACACTTGGTCTAACTTCAGAGTCCACAGCCTCAAACTGGGTGGCCTGCCCCCCCGCACCCCGCCCCGGTCCCCAGATGTCCTAAAACCACACTGCTGAACAAAGATGGAGGTTTTCCATGCTTCTGTTCAAATACCGCTGAGGGAACATGCTCCTTCTCCCATCCTGATACGGTTGTGATTAACCCAGTCATTAATAACAGGAAAGGAGCAAAGGGAGAAGACAATATGAGAGGCATGCCATTTGGACAGCTTCCCCGGGAAGCTACAACTTGACACCCCCAGGGGCCCAACAAAGGGGAGACAGACACGCCCAGTAGCAGGGATGACTAGGGAAGATGCTTGCCCTCAGCCACACCTGAGAACAAAGGTCATTGGCCAGAATGGGCGTGGCCACTGCAAAGGCACAAAATTGGGGATATTTAATCCCCTGAACAAAGGGGTTCGCTCTCTCGTGCTCTTGGGACTCCTTTTTAAAAAAATATTTTTTATTGATTTCAGAGAGAGGAAGGGAGAGGGAGAGAGAGATAGAAACATCAATGATGAAATAGAATCATTGATTGGCTACCTCCTGCACACACCTCCTACTGGGGATCGAGGCCGAAACCTGGGCATGTACCTTGACTGGGAATTGAACCGTGACCTCCAGGGTCAATGGGTTGACACCCAGCCACTGAGCCATCCTGGCCAGACTCTTGGGACTCTTGAGGCTTGTGTGGCTGGGTTTGTGGGGCTCTCGTGCATTCGCCCACGTGGCCCAGGGCCATGCGAACCCCACACACAATGGACTAATGGACTGTAACTAGTCTGATGCTGTACTGGACCCGGCTCCCACCTGGAAAGGGAACTGTGGACACTGGCTTTGCTTCTAGCTTCACTGAAACCCCAGCTACTCTCCTATGACTGGACAAAGGGATATGGGACGTTGGAAACTCAGGAATGTAATTCCACAGAAATACTAGTAAAGCTTTCTACTGTATCGCAACCTCCTGTGTGGGCCTCCGAAAAAGCTTATTCCAGTGGTCCCCCAAAACCCCCCTTCCACCGATAACAATCCAGCAAGATCTTCAAAAGGGAAGTCCTGCCCGGCCAGCGTAGCTCAGTGGTTGAGCATCAACCTGTGAACCAGGAGGTCACGGGTTTGATCCCCAGTAGGCGGTGTGCAGAAGGCAGCTGATCCATGATTCTCTATCACCATTGATGTTTCTTCTCTCTCTCTCTCTCTCTCTCTCTCTCCTTCTCACTTCCTCTCTGAAATCAATACAAATATTTTTTTTAAAAAGGAAGCCCTCCCCTGTTTATCTTTCAGTTAACAAAAGGCACAGGGGCTTTTCTGGCTTTTCTTTTATCTCAATGGCACAGAAATATCCTACACCTTCAAACCGGGAAGCACAGAGCTTAGCCCCAGGTCTCCCATGAGCAGAATTATTGTAAGGAACTGCCGTTGTCAGCTTTCCTCGGTCCCCTCAGTAGGGCAAGGGCATTGCCAAACATGGTCCCCACCTCTGTACACCCTCGGCGGCTGCAGCCTTGGCATGCGACCGCTCGAGCTGATTAGAGCAACAGATTATCAACATGAGAACCTCGGGGGCATTCAGATAGAAAACCGTCTCTTTTTTACGAAGTGACTTAATTGGGAACCATTTTCCCATCAGCTCAGGGGTCGGAGCTTAGCTGGGGCAGCCACTGAGGAGAGCATTTGGCCTCTGCCTGCCTGACTCCTTTTTTCTGTCGCCGCCTCTTAAGAAGGAGGAGATCGAAGCCACTTTAGGAAAGACCTTTTCAGGCCCGAGGGTCCGTTTGCAAGGTCTGCGGAGAGTCCGCCATCTGTGATTCTCCGAGTTGTAGCCCCATTCTCCTGTGCAAGGCTTTTTAAACCCTTTGCTTCTTGCACTTCCCCCTTCTGCTCCTCGCCCCTCACCAAGACCTCCCGCAGCCCTGGTGGCTGAGAAAACACAATGAATTTCAAAGGGATCCTTGCTGGACATAACTCTGCAGGATGCTTGGGGCGGAGGATTAGAGAGGGGTTGAAACTAGTTGGGTTTCTGTTATTCAGATCCTGAAGTTTCCAAAATTGCATTGGAAATCTGCTTATCTTTTTAAAAGCCTGTGCTGCATTCTGGACCAGCTGGATTTTGACATTTTTGTGGCATTCCCGTCACGTTTCCAGCACTCGAATACACAGAATTCTGATCGGTAGAGCTCACACGTGATCCTCCATCTTACAGAGGAGCCTCCATTCCCCACGAATCCGGAATAAGCAGGCGAGCCTCCTAGACACCAATGGGTCCTCTCTCTCTCTCTCTCTCTCTCTCTCTCTCTCTCTTTCCCCAGAAGGAATGTGATAAGGGTGAGGTTCAGGATTAGTGGTTGAAGGTACTGCCAAAAAACCTGCCCATCAGTGCTGAAAGAGTCAATGCTCCATACGTTCAGTCTGGAAAGAATTCATGGAGAAAGTGAGTTTCGAACATGCTTTGAAAACACTTGACAGATTTGTGGCTCCTTTTATGTACATTTAAGCTTTTTTTGTCCAAGGAAACCAAATAACCACACAGTCTTTCTTCTCGCCTATGAAAATGGCACAGAAATGCGATCTTTCAGAGGAAACCTTGTTCACGCTGTTGTGAGAAAGCGTACTGTCATGACGGCACGTGAGTGATTCTGTCTTCTAGAGTTTCTAAAAAACTGAGCCGAGCTGGGACCCTTCAGTGGGCTGTGAAGTCAGTTGAGTGGATCAGGACCAGCCCTTTTAAAAGAAAATATTCGAATAGGAAAGAACAGAAACCACGAGCGTAGGAGTGCAGGTATGCTCTTGCACGCACACAGGGTCACAGTGTAAAACAAACGTGTCAAACTCGAAGGCTAACACAGGCCAAGTAAAAGAGGCATGCGGCCTGAGGCCTGCGAGTTTGACATGCTCGATGTAAAATGTAGTTCTTACTGCGGCTCAGAGAGCTCTAAATTTGGCTTCGGGAGACCAAGGTTCTAAATTTGGTTCTTCTATTAAACTGTTACCTTACGTAGATGCCCCTTCTCTAAGCTTTCCTTTCTTTCAGCACATGTACAGTGAAAGGCTCTGGTGAAACAGGAAAAAATTTGCCCTGGCCAGTGTGGCTCAGCTGGTTGAGCGTCATCCTGTGCACCACAAGGTCGCCGGTTTGATTCATGGTCAGGGCTCATACCCAGGTTGTAGGTTTGATCCCTGGTGGGGGCATGTGAGAGGCAACCAATCCATGTTTCTCTCACATCGATGTTTCTCTTTCTCTCTCTCTCTCCCTTCCTCTCTCTCTAAAATCAATCAAAACATATTTTAAATATTGGGAAAATGTAAATTTATTTCTGCCAAAGTATACTATATCCCAAAGTCAGCTAAAAATGGATTGAGGGTTTTCTGAAGTGACTGTGTAACTGCTCCTCCGATGACATCTGTGTGGCCACCCAAGACTTGACTAAGGTAAGCCTTTCGAGCCATCTAGACCCACTGTCAAAGGAACTTGAAGTTTATTGCAGGTTTTAGGGAAGGGATATATTGAGTCATGATGGCATTTTAGAAATGAAAATGTCAAAGACCAAATTCTTAGCACACTAACTCACTTGTGGTCTAAGCATCTTCTCTACCGACACTTCATCTCCCTTTAAAAAAAGAAATATCACAAGAAATACAAAGCTGGGTGGAGCTGGGGATCCTGCCTTGTGAATGTTAAAGCGCAGCTCTGCCCGCTGTTTCCCATCCACATGGAATGCCAGGTGCCACATTGCAGAACGCAAGGTTCTCTTCATACGTATGTTTTGCTCTATAAGCTACTCCTTTCTCTGCAGCTGAACAAAGGTCTGACTTTTACTGCATCTGAAGGGCAGTCTGTCGCGGCATTGCTCTGCGGACCAGTCTCAGTCTGCGTCAGGACTTCTCGGAGAAGGCATGACCATCCATTCTCACAGGAATGCACTGCAGAGGACCCGCCGATGTTCAGTAGATCCTACACATGTTACACTGCAATGTCCTTGAACCTGGTCCCTGCTAGCATCTGAAATTGGGATGTAATGGAACTTGATTTAAGTTTTGATAATGGATTATAGTACAATCATAGCAATAATTGCAATGTTTTGTAGTTATTACTTATATGTCTTTTCATTACCTTGTGAATAATTTGATGTGTGTGATTTAATCATGGGTATTGTTAGATTCCCCTACAGCAAGACCATCAGCTGGCACGTTCAGGCTCATGATAAATGATGCTGAGATTCAATTTATTACTGGAGAAAAGAAAAGGTGTTATCTAAAAAAGAACACAAGTAAACTGCTGGTGTTATTATATTGGGGATCTTACACTTAAATGTGTTACATGTGTGGGATCAAAGTAATTCACTTCTAACCTAAAGGAACCGTTGAAACTTCAAGGGACTTTGGAGACCACCGAGACCTGGGGCTGGCAAACTATGGCCTAGGGGTCGAGTCCAGTCTACCGCCTGTGCCTGTTAGGCAGGTTTTATTGGAACACGGGCATGTTTTTCTAAGGGTACTTTCATGCCACAACTGCAGAGTTAAGTAGTTGTGGCAAAGACCGTATAACCCACAAAACCTCAAATATTTACTATCTAGCCCTTTACACAAAACGTTTGATGAGCCCGGATCTAGACAGAATACTCTAGTTTTATATGTAAGGAAAGTGAGGCCAGGGAGAAGTGACTTGTCCAGTTGAGATGATACTGGAGGCCTCACTGTCCTGTTTCTCTGTTTGAATACCCCACTCTTTCTTCACCAGTCTGAAGATCTGATGCAGAACAGCCACAAAGCTGCCCCTGCGTCCCTCTGCTTCTCCAAGGCAGTATCTGTGAGCCTCTCAGAGTTGATGGGTGAGGGCTTGCTTTCCCACGCATGTCCATTTGCAGGTGGAGTGACAGGGTCTCAACCTGAACCTAGACTTTGTTCACCCTGGATCCAGACATCCCCGGGCATGTTTGGAGAACCATGGCCTGGGCCTCCCAGGAAAGAGCTCATCTTAAGGAGCAAAGGGTAGAGTTGCACAAATCTGGGTCCAGGGGAGAGGAGCAGAGAAACTAGATGGCCCTCCCTCTCAGCACAAATGACACCTGCCTGAGCCCTCTGGAGAAAGGGATGCAATAAGGAAAGAATTCAGACTAAGTGACTTGTTCCACAGAAGCTGGCAGGGGCGTGGAGGGCATTAGACAGTGCAGAGGATTGGTGGCTGTGGTGCCGGTGGCTGTGGCACAGGAGAGGTGGAGAGTGGTGGACTACAGGTGGCTTCACTGGCATAAGTGATCTGTATAACAGAACTCAGCACATGATGGATGCTGTTCATAGCCCAGAGGACTATTTTATGGACACACTAGAGGCCCAGTGCACGGATCCGTGTGTGTGTGTGTGTGTGTGTGTGTGTGTGTGTGTGTGTGGCAGGGAGGAGTGGGGGTCCAGCCAGCACTGCCCCAAAGGTTGGCCGGCCCACCCTGATCAGGCCCTGATCAGGGCCGGGCCGGCTGGGGGGAGGGGCCCTGGGCAATTGGCCAGCCGGCCCTGCCCCCCATCGGGCTGGGTTCGCTGGCAACAGTGGGCGTCATAGCGACCAGTCATTCTGGTCGTTATGGCATTATGGTCCCCGGCTTTTTATATATATATAGATGTGACGTGCTTCTTGGGGTCCCGTAGAACCAGCAGGGAGAACTATGAGGAGGCTGGAGGGTTCATAGTAGCAAAGGGGACTGAACAAGAGAAATGCTATTTTTAAATCTCCAGCTGGTCCAGCAGGTAGCAATAACAGTTACAAGTGCCAATCAATCCTCTCACCTGCCTTTGCCAGTTTTAGAATGCCACCGAGGCGAGTTGGAGCTCTTCCCAAGCCATGCCCTCGGAGCTGGACAGTTCCACCTCCAAAGCTCCATTGCTGAGTTCAGTAACCCTGGTTCAACAGGGCAGGGCTATCCTCCCAGCCATTGGACTAGCAATTCCCTCACCGTCAGATACCGCGTGCCTATAAAGACTGTCGCTGTACTTGATGATATTGGCACAGCCAACCTACACTTGAGTGGGATCCAGAGAATGATTTTCAGTCTATCAGGGGAAAAGCAAAAGAGAACAAATACGTTTTTAACAACTACAATTCCCATTCATAACGGGAAATACTTGGCTTATAAACCTAGGGCTTAAAATAAGTCAGACACAGAGAGATAAGTCTATTCATTCCACGTGGGTGGTTATTTCCAAGGAACATGGAGGAAGATGGGAAAATGGCTAAAGAGGGAGGGAGGAAAGTTGGCAGGGGCTGCAGTTTGGATCCCATAACTTCTGAACACCATTTTCTGGCCTTATGTGTGGTCATGTACGGTGACTTTATTAATAGGCAAATGGCCTGTGAATCTTATAAAGAGTGAAGTTGTGTGTTAAGAAAAATTATCCGAAATTTAACATGTACCATTGTGTCATGCCGTTGCATCGTCTAACAAGCCCACCCAAGGATCATGTAATGCCCTAGGGAGGTGACTTAGTTAGACTTACTAACTACTAATAGTTAGGGCCAGACTCTATAAAGTTAGGTGTTAAGAAGATTGCTACGTTGCAAATGACCTTTTTTCGGTAGAAATGCCAATGAATTCTATCAAATAGGAAACATAACCCCAAAGTCTGATCTTATCGCCATGTGGGATATTAACAACTTTTATGTAACTTTGCAAACCTACTTCCCACATCCTTTCTTTTAATGGTCATATAAAAGTCTCTTGTGTTTGCCTTTGATTTGGCTCTGTCGTCCTGCGGTCCCCTCCCAAATGAGGTAAATAAATCTTTGGCTATAAGACTATATGAGCATCATGTTTTCAACATTTTATAGAACCTCTCTCCTCCAAAATTCACCGTGGGCTTGCCTGTTTACAATTATCCATCGTGTTCCGTGCATCATAACGAGTTGGATTCATCTGGCTTCCATTTCTCAGCTGGCAGATTAGACAAAGTCTCTTTATTTTAAAAATAAAAGGAGAGCCTGGCCGGCGTGGCTCAGGGGTTGAGCATTGCCTTATGAACCGGAAGGTCACAGTTCAATTCCCAGTGGTGCGGGCTGGATCCCCAGTGTAGGGTGTGTGGGAGGCAGCCAATCAATGATTCTCTCTCACCACTGATGTTTCTATCTCTCTCTCCCTCTCCCTTCCTCTCTAAAAATCAATAAAAACATATTTCTTTAAATGAAAGTTCAGAAAAAATAAAAATAAGGAAAATTAAAAAATGAAAGTTCATTTCTACTTTGAAGCCAATTCACTTTTGCAAGTTGCTCTGACCTTTTGGGCCCATGTTATACTGGTTACTCCAGGAATTACAGGGAAAAGGTCACAGTTCTGTCCTTATGTGTCTTACAGACCCAATGGGGAGATGAATCATATGCATTTGTTAGTAACCGTCATCTGCCTCGAGACACTGCTGTGGTAGGCTCAGACCAGTTAGCCACCTTGAGCTCTGAGGCTAATCTCATTTTATTCCGGGATCCAGGGGAAAAACGTAGCAAGAAAGATGAGTGGAGCTGTAACAAGTTTCTGCCTCTCTTGGCTCCCACCCAAACTAATCGGCCTGGGAGACAGATTTCCCCTCCAGCCAGCATCTTGTTCAGCATTTCTGCTCATCACGCTTCTGGCACTGCTTCCTCAGAGGACCGTCCATCATTCCTAAACCATCGCCCGTCTTCTTCATAAATCAGCAGACAGATGCCGGGGATGCAGGATGGAGATATAGAAATTACACCTGATTCAGACTCATTCCTTCCTCCTTCTTGTTACCTTGGCTTCTTGTATCAGAGAGAATCATCGGGCTATCTGGCGGTGAACCAGGAGGAGAGTGTGTGTGTGTGTGTGTGTGTGTGTGTGTGTGTGTGTGTGTGTAGGGCTGTGATGGGAGCTGTTGGAGCAAAAAGATTCCTGGGTCCAGCCAGCGTGGCTCAGAGGTTGAGTGTCGACCTATGAACCGGGAGGTCACAGTTCCATTCCTGGTCAGGGTGCATGCCCAGGTTGCAGGCTTGATCCCCAGTGTGGGGTGTGCAGGAGGAGAGCCGATCAATGATTCTTTCTCATCAATGATGTTTCTATCTCCCACTCCCTCTCCCTTGCTCTCTGAAATCAATAAAAAATATATTTTAAAAAAAAAGATTCCTGGGGTGAGTTTGAGGGAAGAAAACTTCTATCTGGGGTGTCCTCTGACCCCTCTGAATTCTAACAGGCCCATCTTTGAGAAAGATTTTGGAGACTGATGCTGACTGTACAGTCTCTTCAAGGTCAGAAACAAAGGCCCGTGTGTTCAGTGTTAACACAAAGGGAGAGGAGGAAAGAGCGGCTTTGGTACCACATGTTCATTTGGATAAGAGGCCAGGAATTGGCTGGGGGTGGAGTGGGGAGGAGGTGGAGACAAATCTGTCCATACTTCTGTTACACGATTCCATAAATGAACCCAGCTGGGGTCTCCCGGTCCCTTCAGATCCAGATAAGGTTTGTTTGAAGTGTCTGGATTATTCAAAAGCTAGAGCCCTCTTGCAAATTTCTGTGAATTATTAAGGGAGCCATGATGGGCTTCAGCGCTGGCTCCAACTTTCTGCCCCTGCTGAGTTCTTGTTCTCTGCCCTACATCTTGTGGCTGTTCCTTTATTTTCACCCTGGTTTTAACTCAAAGATGAAAGAACTGGGCTCCCTTTCCGCAAACTAACCATTCACACATGGAGATGAAGGAACTGTATATGCAGCAACCTAAACTATTTAAAATCGAGTAGTAGATGTTCCTCTCCTTAAAAGTCCTTTGGCCACTCTGCCTGTTGCCCCCAATCCTCTTGCGCTTTATGCAAAGGCAACATGGTGGACTACTTAGGGGCATGAAAGCCGTCTGATAGAGTTCATGTCCTAGTCTAACCCTCACCTGCTGTGCACCTTAGGTAAGTCACTTCACCTCTCTGTGCCTCATTCTTCTCATCTGTAAAATGGAGGTAATAATCCACCTACCTCATAAAGTAGTTGTGAGCATAAAACAAGATATATATATATATATACACACACACACACACACACACACACCAATAAAAAACATTGAAATTCAAATCAAAACCACTAATGACATATCACTTCACATCCACTAGGATGGCTAGAATAAACAATTCTGATAATAACAAGAGTTGGTGAGGATGTAGAGAAATCAGAACCCTCAGATGATATCAGAAATGTGAAAATAAGCATAGAGCTACCACAACTCTGCA